GGATTGTGAAAAGAGTTGTATGCGCCACCCCTGATAAAATTAATAATAATAAAAAAAAGCTATTCACCAGCACCGTACTTCAAGTGCAACGGGGCTTCTTTGGTCCCCTTATTGGATGTCCGGCCATCACACGTGCACGAGGTGAGTGACACACCATGGCTTCGCTGAGGAGCACGCCAGCCCTAAAAGTGACGTCTTGATTCTCAACACTTTAAAGAGGTCTTGTGTAGCACATTCACCTAACCATGGAGATGTGTGCTCTCTGGGGAACCCACACACATCCACAGTCGGAGCTCTTCCTCCTTTTTCTGCTGACAACATCACTCTTGCGTGGACAAGATCTTCACTGACGCCCTCCTGCCCACCAAGCCAGGAGCAAGTCCTGGTTCCTCGCTCATCCACTACAGAAACGCGGGCAAGATACTCCGCTTCCTGTGGCACGGAGAGAAGAGCCGCTGCCACGGTGGATGGAATAAGGTGTGAGTTCTCGGCAGCGCCCACTGGCGGTGGGCGTTGGTTTTCCCACGCATTCAATAGACCTGGCCACTCCCCAGGCAAGACCCTCACGAGACATCCATGTTTCCTGTCTCAGCCTCCTGCCTCCGGCATGTGAACAGGCCCAACCAAGCAAGAGGAACACAGGTACCAGGTGCTGGCCAGCTTAAGACCAGCTAAGGCCAAGATTAACCATTAGCTGAACCCATGAAGGAGGCTAAGAGAGATTGGCAAAGCTGTGTGCAGATCCGCAGAACCATTACAGGCTCACCAAAAATAAGAAATGACTTTAAATATCTTTAAAAAAAAAAAAGCATACCGGTGTTTCTATTTTCCTCTGAAACATATCAAAAGGGTAAGGTGGTGGACAGATAGAGGATAAAGGGAAGACAGACAGGTGAGAAGGCGTGGCAGATATACGGACACACAGTAAAACTTGTGTGACGTGGCTGCTTAGTTGACATTTTTTAATTGTCAAACATCCGAGGGAAAACCCCCATAAAGATGGGCGGGAACCCTGTGTAGATTCGAGAAGGCGGAGTCATACTGTGGGAATGCTCAGACACGCTTCTCCACTTCCACCTCTGGGCATTTCATCTACAGACCAGCATCTGGAGAGCAGATCTGAGTACCCTTTGTCAACACCCCACTCCGTATTTTGGGATGACATCCTTTGGAATGTGACCCCATTACTGATTCCTAATTAGTCTCCCTTGCCCTTTCCCCCCAGGGTGATGCAAAGTCAACTGGGGGCTCAAGCCGCAAGTTAGCACCCTTTGGGACCGAGGCTGTGCGTGTGTCACCTGCCCGACAAACCCGGGAGCTGACTGGGATCCGGGACAGGTGGAGGGGTGGACGGGGGACCGGCTGGGGGCTTTCTTCCCCAACATCCCTGGGTTGGCTCTGCTCTATGCTTAGGCAGGCGGTGGCCCACTTCCTCCCCCAGGGCAAACTGCACTTCCCGTGCACACAGGGTTGGGGGCAGCCTTCTCCCCACCAACCGGTCATCCCTGCACCATGCACTGGGCAGCGCTGCACCATTCCAGCTGGTCTGGGTGTGGGCATAATGAGGGACCCTGCCAGCCTAGCACTGGACGTGGGGCCACTGAGTGGGGAAGGCTCCTCGGAGTGAGAGTCTGATGCCCTTGAGAGCCAGGCCCACACCTAGCACTGTGCCAGGGGCAGCCTTCGCCCCACAGCACGAAGGCCAGCCAAGGTTGGAGTGGGTAACCAAAACATCCTGCCCGCTCCTGGGGCCCTGGGTGTCCCCAGGACAGAGCAGGGAAGTGGCCATGGCTGCAGGGTGGCGTCCACACTCAGGGCGGGCGCCTGCTGCCCGCTGGGAGGGGAGTTCACAGCCGAGACGTCACAGCAGCATACAGACAAGGGCCCGAGCATGCAGCAGCTGGGCCCCCATGGGCAGCCTCCTCTGGGGGAACAAGCTGCACTGCCAGCCTTTCCTAGCTCCTCATGCCCTGGTGCGCAAAGCCAGCCAGTGTCACCACCCACAGTGGGCCTGTGTCAGTTATCTGTCCCTCCCATCAGAATGGGAGCGTGGGGACTGTAGGGACTGTGGTGGGCGGGGATGGGTTGGAGGGCTCCCTCCTGCAGCTCCAGCCTGACCTGTCAATACTCCCACTCCTGCTGCAGGCCGAGCTCTACACCAGGAGCCCCAGCACAGCCTCTGCCCCCACCTTCAGAACACGTCTCAGGGAAGGTGGAGGCTGGACGAACCCCTGCCGCTGTGGCAGGCTCTGAAACCAGATCTAACCCCAAGCCTCCTCCCCGCCTTTCCCTGTAAAACCAGGTGGCACAAGTGCCCGGCTAACCCACAGACAGCATCTTCCAGTCCCGTGGGGATATATGAGTGGGGCAGAGGGAGGGCTGAAACGTGGGTGCTCAGAGGGAATAGGCCACATTCTAGGGAGCTACACTCCTACCCTTGGCTTGCTCGCCTTTTTTTTTTCCTCCCACCAGTGGACAGCTCTGCCACACACACCCCACGGCCCCCCCCAGCTGCTGGCCGCATGAAGGGGCCTCAGCCATACATATGCCTGGTGGCTTGCTGGTGATGGTGGGGCAGTGGCAGGAGCTGAGGAGGCTGCATGGGACAGCACAAACTGTCCCCCTGGGCCTGGTGGCAATTAAGGCCCAGGGGGAACCTCGTACCTGAGAGGAGACAGGGACCCAGGTTCCCCATGCACCAACCTCATTTCCAGCCTGAGTGCAGAGCCAGTGCCCAGGGTTGAGAGGGCAGGAAGGGAAGGGCCCTGCTGGCACCTTTCGTGGGAAGTGTAGGAGGTTTGCTCTGCTGGCAGATGGGGGAAAGAGCACCCCCATCAGCAGCGGCATGCCCATGAGAGCCCAGAGGGTGAGCGGGAACAGCAGGACACAGGGACACCGGGTGTGCAAGGACAGGTGTGGCAGCAGCAGCAGAGAGCTAGCTACTTCATATGACAGCCCACCACCACCTCTGCCACTCAGGCCCCATGTGAGGCTTCCACCCTCCAACTCTCACTCACCCAGCCTCGGTCACCTGGGGTGGCCCGGCCCTCCCACTCTCCTCCCAGAAGGCACACAAGGGCACCTCCACAGGCCCCTGACTCCAGCCAGGGTCCGGCGTGGGTGTGGCGCCCACCCAAAACCGGCCAGGCTGGCAGACACTCCAGAGCAGAAGACAGAGCAGGCCAAACACAGCTGCTGGCATGTGTCTGGTGGCCAGTGAAGGGGCCTTGGGGCACTGCAGGGAGGCAGTGGGATGCTGACCACGGGCCAGTGGTTCAAATCCGACAGTCTGCTCCCTGCAAGGTGGACCGGAGTCTTGGGAAGCCCCCTTAGTCAGCGGCCCTAAGTCGGAATGGACTGGTGACAGTGGGTGTGTCAGCAGCTAGGAGCAGACCAGGCAGGTTTCTGCTTTTACAGAAGCTAGGCTCCCTCTCCTTAAGTAGCCCGTGCGACCAAGAACCATCCCAGGGCCCCTGAAGGTGGAGCAACTTGCACTGGCAGAAGCGGGGGTCAGGACAGTGAGAAGTCGGGCAGGAGACCGTCTTCTAGGGGGGTAAACCCTCCTGGTAGTACTGTACTCTCCCAGGTCGGGGACCCTGATTGGTCTTGTATCCAAGCCCCCTACCACTAGGACTCTGCTGGTTGGAGCAAAGTCAGCCCCCACCCCCAGGGTTGCCGCTCTGTCAATGGGATGGAGAGAGGAGGAGCAGTGGACCACTCTGGCTGACCACCAACACTGCTACCCTTTCCCATGTGGCTCATCGTCCCACAGTGCACTGGGAGCAAGCCACGCTGGGGAATTAATCTCTCCCTGCCCCTCCTATATGGTGTAGTGCGGTCACTGCCAGCTGGCCGGGCACCCAGCAGAGGAGCGCTGGGTACTGGGTGAACCAGTAAAACTAGTCCTGCCTTTCCTGAGGTAGATTCAAATCTGGCAGGCGACTCCTGGAGGCTGTCCAGCCCACTGCGCAGGCCACCCTCCTAATGAGAAAACTACAACTGTCTGCTCGCCTGTGCTCAGCGGTGTCCACATTCTCCTCCGGTGGGTAACGACAATTCAGACTCCATCACCACTGACAATCTCCTAAGAAATTCCCCAGTCAGGGCCAGAAATTGTGGAAGGTGTATGTGTACATATCTGTGCACATTGTGTGTGTGTGTGTGTGTGTGTGTGTGTGTGCGTGTGCGCGTGCATGCGCAGTCCCCAGGGAGGGGAAGGAGTAGGAGGGCTAGCACTTCTTTCTTCCCCATTAAAAAAGCCTCTTCTTGCCCTCCCTTCCCAGAAAGACCCCAAGAGCTCAACCCTCACAGGCTCCTTTAGTCTCTTCACAAATTTTCTTTGTAATAGAAGTGGGGCAGCAGAAGCCGGGATGATGGACGTGGTTCTGAGAGACTGGAATGAAGGCCACGCCTGCTGACCAGTGGGGCGTCAGGCCCTGGAGGAGCTTCGTGACGATGCTGAGAGAGAGCCGAGAAGAGCTGATGGGGAAGCCCTGGTCTCTAGTGTTTACAGAAAAGGACTGTCTGCACAGGGGGCCCTTGACCAGCCGTGGTTCCCTAAGGGGGTGTCCTCCAGGTTTTTAACGCCCTGTAAAAGTCTCTTCACAGCCGAATGTTTGGGTGTCATGGTGTCTTCAGGAGGCCAATGCCTGAATAGGAGCGGGTCACGCCATGAAGGCCGCCTACACGTCTTCCTAGGGCCCACTCTAGAACTCACTCACTGAGTGGATGCCGACTCAGTGACCCGACAGGACCTAGCAGAACTGCCCCTGTGGGTTTCTGGGGCTCTAGCTCTCTATTGGAATAGGAAGCCTCCTCTTTCTCCACTGGAGGAGCTGGTGGTTCCAAACTGCTGATCTTGTGGTCAGCAGCCCAACACGTAATCTGCTACGCCATCCGCACTCCTTCCTAGGACCCCAGAGGGGCCACACCACTGTTTCTCAAGCACTGTCTTCATTTTAAGGCAAAGTCCAGTGACCTCACCACTAGATACAACTTTGCCTCTGGTGGTCAAAGGCTGACTTTTGCCAGAGATCCCTGCGTTTCCAGGCCCTCCTGAAACGCAGGTCTCGAGGAGGTGGGGGTGACGTGGGAAACAGGAGTGGCAAGGCTTCTGCTTCTGCTGCAGGCTGGGCAGCCAGGCCTGGCTCCTAGGCAGGTCGCGGGGCAAGGGAAAGGGAAAGGGAAAGGGCTGGGCCCCCCACCGGTTTGCCGGAGGGAGGACTTGTGCTTGTTAACAACGGGCACACGCGCCAACCCGGAAGAGGATACTGCCACTTGGAGACAAGGTGCACAGTGCACCTTCTTCTGTTCTCCAAATGGGGTGTGGGGAGCCCCTTCCTGGGTGGCCCCAGGAGGACTCTGCCTCCACCGCTGCCCTCCCAGATGAGTCCAACGGCCAGGCTCTCTGATGCGTCTTTGTGTTCTTAGTACAGCAAAGACAGTGTCTACGGCGCGGTCGGCGTGCCAGCCCCACACATGTGGGCAGATGTGTGAATACAGTCAGTGAGGCCGCAGAGGGCTGTGTGACACAGGAGAGGACTCCTCTGCCCCTGTGGTCCCAGGCAGAGATGGGGACAGGGACAAAGCTGGGCTTGAGGACCCTCAACAGAATGAACACACACACACACACACACACACACACACACACACACACACACACACACATCCTCTCTCCTCTCCCCCTCATAGGAGGCCCAGGAAGAAGAGTCAGAAAGAGGGTGGTGGCCTGGAGAAAAAAGAAGATGCTTCGCTGGCACCATTTGGGTTATGAAGGAAAAGACCCACTGGGGGCAGTCACAGGGCTCCGAGTCCCGTGTGCTGGTCTCCACCCTGACAAAGGTCATCAGACTGCCTCCAGCTGGGTAACAAGGCAGCCAGCGCTTAGAACCTTCTGGCCTATCAAGAGTAGATGAGGTCTCAGGAGAGGCGAGCAAATCCTCCTTCTCCCGCCCATTTCCCAGGAGCCACCTGGAAAGTGATAGGCTCTCTGAGGGCCGCCCTGGGCTGGCGCTGGGTGGGAAGAGGAAGACTCTGGCCTCAGAGATAGTGGGCAGGGCAGGAGGCCAAGGTCGGGCCTGTCCTCGAACCCAGCCCTCAGGTGCTAGAAGCCACAGGACTGATGTGACGGTGGGTCCGACTGGTGTCTGTTCTCTTAGAAGACGCGGCTCTCTCATGAACTTGGTCTAAAGACAAGGCGCACCACACAGGTGCCGGTCCCTCCCTCGGTGAGGACTCCGGGGCCTCCGGCAGCGGTGATGACTGTGGTGTCATCAGTTCCGATACTGCCGTCAGACTGGACACACCACGGTCATCAAGCACCCGATTTGGTGGACCAGAAAACGGAGAGGCTCTGCTACCCTGAGCACCATGTCCACAAGGGGCAGGGGCGGGATTTCAACTCGGCCCCCACCCCACTGCACCCAGCAGTGATGCACACTCACTGGGTGCAGCAGGGCCACACTGGCTTGGGAGTCACATAAACACCTCCGCTCCCCACTACTACTCACTGCTGACCTCCAGACAGACTCCTGCCCAGGAAGCGCCATGGCCATGATAGAGGAAGGGGACAGTGGGCCAGAATTTCTTATTGCCAACTGGGGCCCAAACACTCTGCCGAATGCTCACAGAATGGAATGGACGAGGAGAACACCAGGCACACCACCCACAGAAGACCCTTCCCAGGGACAGGGGATTCCCTCTGGGGCCCTCTGCTGCTCAGAGTGCATCCTGGGCAGACCACAGGCAGGTGTGTGACGGGTAAAGGAATGGCCCATAGAACTGAGGGTGCAGACGAAAGGGCTGGAGGATGAACTGAGCTAGCAGACTCTAGGCCTGCCTGATTCCTTATCACCACGGAGGCAGAGGCGTGAGCACGGCCCAGAGACATGCAAGGCTGGGGAGGCCCTGGGCAAAGGCTCCCACAGAGCACTCTGGCCCTATGCCTGGTGTGTGTGTGTGTGGGGGGGTGGTGGCTGGAGGGGCTTACCATTGTAGGAGAGGCGTGGTTTGCTCAGACACATGATAAAGTGCATTTCCATCTCGTCAGATGCCACGGACTTGGAGCAGATGGGGCACTTGAAACCTGGAATAGAGGAAGCAGGGTTGAAGTGTCTTCTCCAGACACGGAGCGTGGACACACAGGACCTGATTACTCCTCCCGTGGAGACGAGCCTCCAGGGTCTGCCCTTGCACCTATGCGCTGCTGCCCTGTGTCTGCCATGGAAATCGAGCCCACATCACCCACCTCCGACTTGAGCTGTTTTCAGACCCTTACCCATGGGCGTACAGTGGGCGATGAGAACAAAGGGGCGTGGAATCGAGGCCCCCGAACCACAGTGTTCACAACCCCCAGCCCATGCTCACCAACGCCCGCCACACAACTGCCTTGCTATTTCTGTAGGGGAGGCAAAGGCTGTGTCAGTTAGGGGTGCCTCGCCATACCTATTGCCACCGGGTGGATCTCGGTTCATGGGGGTCCATGTGCGTCAGGGTACAGGTGCACAGCACATGGTTTCCAGTGCAGGAACTTAGGGGTGTGGCTCTTCAGGCTGTCTCCACTGCAACCGAGGGTGGCTTGAAGCTGGTACCCTGGCAGTTAGTGACTATGCGCAAACTGCTTTCGCCACCCAGGGCCGCCTTATGTTCCTCTCTAAGTGCACTCCCACTAGATGTGTTAATGAGCTCCCCGCTGCAGGACCACACCGAACATTTACAGCCCTGGTTGACTGTGGATAAGGCAGTTCCATGCCCATGACAGAGTCCCCATCCACTCCACCCCCTTTCATCCACAGAGGGCTTGGAATCTTAGTTGTTTGGCTAAAAAGTCTTAGGGAGGAGGCTACCAGTCCAAGGACACTGGCCGCAGTTTGAGAAAGCTTTATTTCCTGTTCTCTGGAGGGTTATGAATCCACTAGCAACAGTCAGGAGGTGTGTGCGCGAGTGTGCATGGGGGTGGGGGGTGGGCAGAGAAGCCCACTCCGGTGCTCTGGAACTAAAATATGCCAGGCTAGTTATTTTCTACCCCTGCCTAGAAACCTGCAGGCCCAGTGTCACCTGCTTAGTAGACAGATGGGCAATGATGTTGTAAAGAAGCTACCGTTACAGAAAGGAGCCCTAGTGGCCCAGTGGTTAAGTGTCCAGCTGCTAGTGGAAAGGCTGGCAGTTCAAACCCACCGGCCCTCTGCGGGAGTGTGGGTGGGGAGAGCTGCAGCTGTCTGCTTCAGTATAGATGGCAGCCTTGGAGACCCTCTGGGGCAGCTCCTCTCTGTCCAGGGCTGGTGGGGAGTCCGAGGGTTATGCTCTCTGTAGCTACACTAAACCCGGTGATGGGCCTCCATGCTTACATTTAACCAGGGGTCCTCAAACTATGGCCCGCGGCCACGTGCGGCCCGTGGAGGACATTTATCCGGCCTGCTGGGTGTTTTGCCCCTTTTTACTTCAAAATAAGATATGTGCAATGTGCATAGGAATTTGTTCATAGGTTGTTTTTTTTTAAACTATAGTCCGGCCCACCAATGGGTCTGAGGAACAGTGAACTGGCCCCCTGTTTAAAAAGTGTGAGGACCCCTGGTTTGAACAATCCTCAGAATGGCCGGCCATCAGGAGAGGCAGGGTTTCATCATCTGCAGAGATTCATTCACAGAAATGGCTTTAAACTCAAAAGGCCAAGGTTGGGTACTTTAAACTTTTTAGGCGAGTGCCTGTCTGTGGTCAGAAAGCTGAGAGTGAGCGGTGGGCAGACCAGGACAAAGGTGCCCTGCCTGGACCAGGTCCTCTCTCACCAGGACTTGACACACTGACTGTGGGTGTCAAGGTGGCTTGTTACTGATGAGAAGCCTTAACTACCAGACATTACTTAATTTTCTGAAAACTTAGGACAGCGCCAAGCCCTGTAAGAGCTTCATTACTCTCTGTATTGTAGCGTGTTCCTTCCTCTGTGCAGGGCAGGGGGTCAAATTACAGCCATGGGACAGGGAAGTAAGCCACTCTGGTAAAGAATGTCACAAGACACTTAGGTTCTAGAAAAATTGGTAGACGCTTGAAAAGGCTGAACAATGAATACGAAAGATCGGAGACGAAAGTGATGCATCTGAATTGCGGTTTGGTGAGGAATATTTAACCTACCAAGGACTGCCAGAAGAACAATGATTTCGTCTTCAAAGCACAGCCAGAATGGTCCTTCGACAGTGAGGATGGGGACTTCATCTCACTTATTCTGGACAAACTATCAGAAGGGACTGTCCTTGGAGAAGGACATCCATGCTTGATGAAGTAGAGGGTCAGTGAAAATGATGACCTTCGAGGCCTTGGACTGACCGTGGGTGTACCGTGGAGTTGAAACACAGTAACGGTGGCGAGGACGAGCCAAGACTGGCAAACGCTTTGTTCTGGTGTATACAACGTCACTACGAGTTGGGACGGACCCATTGCCACCTAACGATGGCCCTCCTCATTGTACAGACAAGGACACGGGTCCAGCGAGGCCAATGAGTGGTCCAGCAAAGCAGCAGGCTGAGACTAGAACTGGATTTCTTGATTCCCTGCCCAAAGTTCTCTCCAGCCAGGAAGAACGTGTTTCCCACAGCATTTGCAGGAAAGAGATGGGTGAGCGCTGGAGAGGACACAGGAGGGCACGGAAGACACACAAAGTCTATCTGCACCAGGGTCACGACCACTGGCTTCATGCATCGCTGGGCTGGCCTTTTTGAGTAACCCACCTCTCCAGGTCTGTTCTGTGAGTGGGATGGGCCAAGATGGCCTGAGCTTCCCAGCCTGAAGGACCTTGTCAGGCACCTACCCTGTCTGGGCCTTAACTTCCTAAAAGTGGGGAAGTCACAACTCTTCTTAATGTGACTGCACGAACTGAGATCCATGACTTGTGAATCATACGCCAATAAAACTGTTGGAAGGAAAGACTGCAAGTACAATAGGTGATGTTACCAGGAGGAGACTGTCAAAATGTAGGGATTGTTAAATGTCAAATTGCTGACCTGCTCTGCATATCTTCACCTAAACCACAATATGAACTTTTAATAGATAGACAAGGCAATGGGGAAATTCACCGCACTAATTGTCTTCCTCTCAGCCAGACAATATATAACAGGAGGAAGGCACGGAGAAAGTTTAGGTGGGAGGTACAGACAAGGAAGGGCACCTCGGCCTCTTCTCCGGTCACCCCTGTGGGCTCCCCTCTCTGCCTCATCTGAACCTCCAGCGCACAGTGGACATTTGGCACTTGCCATACTGCCCTAGTGCAAACGACAGCCCCTGTTTATCCTCTGCAGCACTGCACATGGTAATAGAGAAGGGCTTCCATTTGTGGTGTTGTGTCTTATGTCTTCTCACTTACCACAGAAGGTGGTTGGTACTACCCTGAACTTGATTTTGATTTGGCAGAGAAGAAAGCAGAGCTAGCAATCCACACCTGCAGAAGGAAGCCTCTCAGCCACCTACACCTTAGACCCCTACCTGGGGCTGCCTGAGAAGCGGGGGTGGGGATGAGGGTGGGGGTACAGAAACACAGGCACTACTCAAAGGCCAGGTAGAGTAACTAAGTACGAGGGCACTAGACACACTAAAATAAACAAAACAAAACATTTTTTTCTTGGAAATTGTCTAGCATGGAAGGAATGCGTTCTGCCTTCCACTTGGCTCTGTGCCCACAGCATTGTTAGAAGATGCTGAGTCTGCAACTTACCTTGAAAATGGAATAAAAAGGGCAAAAGGTGAGCAGGACAGAAAGATGTGGGAAGCACGGCGGGGGTGTGGGGTGTGGTGGAACTAACACCCTACCCTTCCTGGAAGGTCCCGGATGGAGGAGACGCCCCACCAGCCTCCTCTGTCTTCCCTCAGCCTCGCCAGGCTCCAGTCAGCACAGCAGCCCTGCGCTGGTCACGGTGTGAAGGTTAGGAACAAGAAAGTGCAGACACTGGTTTTGAAAGGAGTCGGACGGAGCGAATTAAAAATGGCTCTGCAAACGATCATCCACAAAACCCTCCGGTTTATGTGGTTTTGTCAGATACTTCCGAGGCTTTGCTTTCCTCCTGGAGGAGAGATCTCAGGACCCGCCCTAAATACATCGAAGGCCCCAGGCTCTTCCCCCATCCCCACCAGCCTGGGAGCCGCCTGAGCAGGCAGCAGGTGCCCCCGTCGGACTGTCTTCCAAAGGCACAAAGGCACTTTCTGTGCGTGTGCTGTGCTTCTACCGTTTGCTGTTGACAAAGCGTGGGTGAGCTGCAGGCAGGAGAGCCACACCATTTCTGATCTTTTTCTGCTAGACTTGCCAAGAGGAGGGCATAGGGCACATGGCAGACCGCTAAGGGGACTCTTGTCTGCAGGGGGCCAGTTCTGTGCCCGCTGGGCTGCATAGGCTGCCTGATCCATGGTCCCTCTCTTCTGACCGGCAGGAGTTAGGAAATCCTTGTTTCCCTACTTCTTAGCTCAGCTCCATTTCTTCCTGGGGTAGAGAGCCGTCAGCAGAGCACCTTGTGGGAGTGGAGGCCCTCTGGCAGGCAGTGGGCTGCAGGAGGGGCGGGAGCACCCATGAGAGGGTAGTCTACGCATGGCACCCAGTACAGGCCCTTGCCCTCCGGGTCAAGCTCTCTCCCTTATAAGTGAGCCACCAAGGAAGACTTGTGCATCAAGCCCTTCCTTTCCTGGGTCAATTTAATGAGCCCCTCAGCCCGTCCTACTCTTGTGACTGGCAGCAACCGAGGAAGGGCAGCACCTGTGTCCAGTCTCCAGGAACTCTTGGCTAGACCTTCCGTCTGACCCACTGCACCATTCAGCACCTTGCAGTACAAAGTCTGCAGTACAGAGGGCTAATAAAACCAAAAACTCACTGATAGTGACCCTATGAGACAGGGTAGAGCTGCCCTGCCCCTGCGAGATTCCAGGAGACCTCTTATTTTCCAAAAGCAGCCATCTTCTCCTTTAAGACCTGGTTTCTCAGGCAGCCCATGTGCTTACTGTATGTTGCTCCACTTTCTCTCCCCCCGCTCCCCGATGCTGATGCACTATTTTAACAGCTGCCCCAGTTCTGTCTGTCTCTGGAATCACCCAAAGGAAGAAGAACCAAAAGAA